ATTGTCTTTTCCATCCCTCTTCCCACTTCTGAAATAAAAAAAAATGAAATAGCTATTTCTAGTGTTCCATTTCTAATTGGGGGACACAATTGATTTTCCCTTTACTATTTCCTGTTTTATTAACTTACTACTGAAAATAGTTGTCAAGCAAGCATCCTTGAAACAAAAAAATAACATTTACAGTCATTTCTTTTAAAGAAGTAATTTATGATATTAGTTAAAGGAAACTTATTTGATACTGTAAGATTGTTTTAATTGATAAAGTAATCAGTTATTTGCTCAAGAAGTAAATGAGTTTTAAACTTTAATTTGTAGACTTTCTGGATTTTCATAGAATATTTATTACCTTGCCTACCTGGAATTTCTTTTAATACTTCTGGAAATTCAATATTGTTTATTAAATTATTATTTTGCAGGTTGGTATACTCTAAAAATCAATAATTAGCAATACCAAATTCTGTCAATCTAGTTTCTAAAACAAACCCAGTGCTGTCACTTAAAGATCACTTGATGAATCACTTACAGTAACTCCCTTTTTACAACCCTGTAAATCCCTTAATTCGTTAACCCTCAAGTTAAGCAGTTCCTCCAGGCCAGCCTTCCTGAAGTTGATATCATCCAAATGTATTAACTTACATTCTGATTATCTTCAGAATGTTTCTGAATTATTATTTTAGCTGTGAAACCAATTAACGCAAAGAAACCAAAAATTGTTCTGTGTCATTTGTAGTCTTTAATTTCTATGACCTTTCTTAACTCTTCGTGTACTGTTCACATCCTTTCTTATTTTTCCCACCTTTTCTCTATTAAAAGATACCAACACACAGTAATTAACTTCAGGTTTACTTTACTCAAGAGTAAGGAGAGAATTTGGTGGATTGTTTTTCCCTTCAAGTTCATTTAAAGCTATTGTGAAATTTGTGTTGCAACTCCTTGTTTTCCTACAAAAGTTCTATTTTTATCCTTGTTCTTGGAATGCCTGAGTATTTTAAAAATCTGTTATGATGGTGCATTCAAGCTTATTTCATTGTTTAAGGCAATGCAATTTACTGCTGCTGCATGGGCACCCATGGGAGAAGATCAAGATCTGCAAGTGGCAGATTTTCAAGAAGCTGATACCTGTGACTTAGCCTAACACACATCACAAGACCATGGTTTATTTAACTCTTGTTTACTGTATACACCACAATTGGTTAAGTTTATATAACATGCAAAACTAAACCAACCATGTTTTAGCAAAAAGAAAAAGTTCAGTATATGACTTCCCTTAGTTTTTGTAAAGCTTCAACCTCGATGCCTCTGGATGTGTTGGGATTAAAATTTCCTGAATTCCCATGAATGAAAATTTTAATTCAAACACGTGAATGAATGGATTATTAAGTGATTATTAAGTTCTAACAAATCAAAGGATGGCATTCATGATTCTTTGGGATTCTAAAATTTTAAAATATATTTAATTAAATTGCATTTTAAAGATTTAAGATGTATATTGCTACAGTAGGGTCGAGACTATTACCGGTAACATACAGTAACATCTGTACTTCATTCCTCCCCAAACTACAGTTTAAATTGATATGTTTTAACCTTAATTTACAAGACAAAAAAATAAAAGTGTTTACCAAGAGAATCAAGTTTTATCTTAAAGATAAGCAGCAGTGTGTCGCAGCTGCCAGAAAAGCCAACACAGTGATAGGGTGCATTAAGAGAGGGCTAGAATCAAGATGACATAAAGTTAGAATTTTATAATGCCTATAATGTAACACTCCACTAGGAATATTGCATCCAGTTTGGTTGCCATAATATAAAAAAGATGTTGAGACCCAAGAAAGCATGCAGAGAAGAACAACAAAGATGATTCGGGTACTGAAAGCTATGAAGAACAGTTGCAGGAATTGGGTACGTGTAGGGTAATGAAAAGATGGACTAGGAGTGACATGATAGCAGTGTTCCAGTATCTCAGAGGTTGCCACAAAGAGGGAGTCAAGCTATTCTCCAAAGCACTTGATGGCAGGACAAGAAGCAATGGATGGAAACTAATCAAGGCAAGATCAAATCTAGAATTAAGGATAAATTTCTGACAGTTAGAACAATTAATCAGTGGAATGACTCGCCTCCAGAACTTGTGGTGCTCCAACACTGAAGGTTTTTAAGAAGAGATTGGATTTTGTGTCATATTCTAGTTTAATTATGCTGTTGTAAAAGTGTGCTGAAATGTGATTTCTAGCCCATTGTCTTATTCCCTCCCCTCCAGTACCTGCTACATAAATTAATCCACAGAAAACAATGCAATATGATTTCTCATACTTTCTTTCAAACTCAGAAGAAATAATCTCTAGCCTTAAGCACACTTAGTAAGTGGTGCACTAGCATTCCTTAACTTAAGACTCTCCCAGAAGCCTAGGACTGCATTCTTAATAGAAGTAGAGAATATCACAATTGACAATATGACTAGACTTAGTTCCAGATAAAATGCTTAGAACTGTAAGCAAGGACTTTGTTGCTTTCTGATAGTCTTCATATTGATGCAGCCAGTCATGGACTGGAAGGTCTGGTGCCTCTAGGGCAGGCATGTCAAACTCACGACGTCACATGATGTCGTGCAACGTATCGGGTGGATTTTGCCATTGCCAGCAATGGGGTGGGCGTGGCTTCCATGTGACGTATCCGGCCCATGGGCTGGCAGTTTGACACCTCGGCTGTAGGGTTTTGAGTTCTTGGCAGAAGGTTCTTGGCTATTGACTGATTCTGGCTCAGATCCTGTTTCAAGGCTTGACTTATCTGGCTTTGTAAATTCTTTTAATTCCCTCTGTAGAATCCATAACATTTTCTCCATTTTACCCCAGAATGGTAGGTTGTATTGAAACAGAGATCAATCACAGAGCAAGTCAGGGAGCCAATCTATGCAGCGAATAAGCCTCAATATGGATATTGTTATCCAGATGGTGCTTGCATCATATGAAGGCACCCAAAGTGATATTATTTAAATTGGATGAAAACCAGGATTTACAAAAAATAATTCAGGTCATGGTGGGAAAGCAATAGTTAGTTCCATTTCCCAAAAGCTATTATCTATATGCTTGCCCTTTGAGGTAGTCCAGACAAGTCATAAAAGTACTTTATTGAAAAGTTACATTGGAAGGTCTCCTCTTTTTCTTTTACTCATCAGAAAACTAGTGTTTCCCACCCCATCTCTCTTTCTATGGGGCTAAGATATCATTTGGTTACCAATTGTCCATTCTGTGGCTCTCTTTCCTGTCCCCCAAGGTCATTCATGCATACCATTACCCATAAAGGAATCAATATTAATCAAGATTGTATTATAGAATAGAATGTGTGGTCACTTCACTTAAATCTGGACTACCTCAAACCAAGAGTGTATGCTTACCTAATACAATTAAATTCATGTCTGATCTGGGCCTATTACACTTTACCTTTTGATGGCTGTATTTATACAAGTGAGATTCTAACTTCACATTAACAGAACTCAATTCCTATGCTATGAATGATGTCACAACATTCATATTATGGCTTATTTTGATGGCTTTGTTCCCACAACTTGCTATGATAATGACCACTTAATCTTTTGCTGTGTGGACCCAACTAAGAAATATATTCTAGGTTTAATTTTGTTAAGAAAACAGGAGAATTGGGAGTAAGCAAATCCATATGGAGAGATCCAAGGTATAAAATGAAAGTTTTGCTTTGTAAAGCATGTCATTTCCTGTACCATTTCTTTAATTAAACAAACCACTTGAGGACCATGGAAGCAACTTCTTTGGAATTTTTTTTAGCCACTGAAAATCTACAATTGCATAATGAGACTATTAGGCCCAAGTAAAGTTTTGCGGTTTTCAAAGTTACAAACTGAAAACAGTATGAATATGTAAACAAAACAGGTGTTCTGTGTGCTTCATACATTTTATTAGGATTGTCTTGGGATACACAGGGCAAGCTATTGTATATAGACAGGTAGCAAAACCCACACTCATGATACTACATGGTTGAGTAATGAAATGTCTTCAAGCAAACCACCAAACTCAGAGAACACCAAGGACTCAACCTTGGACTACAGACATTCTTTTCTATTGAAACAAATATTGCAAAATCAAGTGATTTAATTAAAATTGCCATTCATTATAAAAAGGATATTATGATAGCTTAGTAACACCCATCAAACTTAAGAATAAAAAAGAAGCCTTTTATCTTATCCCTATTGATTATAATTTGTCCTCAATTTATTACTCATGTAATATTATAATTTCTCCATCATCCCCAATTATTGATTTATTAATTAATATTTATATCTTGTTGTCCTGTTCTTCCAAATGACTGCCATATTAGAATCGTTGCAAAAGAGAAATTTAGCTTTCCATTAATGAAGAACAGAAAATGCATTAGAAAATTCCTGTAATTGAGGGAAGTGATTGCCAGCTGGGAATTGTATTTGTCATTTGTTTCTGCAATGCAAATTGTATTTGCTGTTTATTTTTGAAGCAATTTGCCTTTGCAGAATAATTTACAGGAAGCTGTAGTTAGGGAAGTGATCCTATCCCTATTAAGAAATATTTATATGTTTATCCTTAGTTTTTTCTTAAGAAACTCTGAAAACATTTTTTAAACTGTATTTTAGACAAAAAGGGGTCTGTTCTAGTTATGATACAACCTTATTCTTCAGAGCCAGTATTTTGACATCTTGCCTTCTCTTTGCAGAGGCAATGAAAAGAATTATATAAATGCAGAATGTTTTATATAATTTTTTGCCCAAGACAAACTTTTTGCTTGGACTACTGACCTTGTAATGCGGAAAAGAAACTGTGCTGAAGCATCTTAAACAATGGCATGCTTCTTTTTAAGTCCATAATGGTAGCATGGCATGAGCTGATTAGGCAAGGCTAAGAATGAATAAGCTGAGGACTATGTGTGCTTGTTTAGCAACTGAAGTCTTGCTTAGAAATTTGCATCAGCCAGACCTATGTTTGAGTTCATGTCCGCTGTTACAGGTTTGATCCGTTCCCGCATTCGAGGAGCAGATGTGGCCCAGGCAGGGGTTCTTACCTTTCTAGACAGTCACTGTGAGGTGAACAAGGATTGGCTGCTTCCTCTTTTGCAGAGGATCAAAGAGGTAAGTGAGCCACTCAGTAGCATTGTCTCTGATCAGAGATAATAGCATGTATCAGCATGGCTCTTGTAAGCCTTTTAATTAGAGAAATTCCTGGCAAAATCCATGGAAAGATAGCCCACCAAGCCATCTTTCACCAGAAATAATATCACTATTACAAATGTAATGCCAATTCAGACTAGCTCAGCACTGTTCTCTAACTGGCAGCAGGCCTCTGGCTTTTAGCAAAGAAAAAAAAATCCCATTATTTGCTATCTTACCTGCTTATGTGGAAATAGCAGAGTTTTTCTTTCTCAACATATATTTCTCTAATGAGCTATCGAGTCTCTCCTGAAGAATGCTGACCACTGGACCAAAGATAAAATCAGGTCCCAAATCAGCCATTTGTCTGAATGTAAACCAGACCAGGCTGCCATTCAATTTCAGATATAAAAGACACCAAATAGGTACTAAACCGCAAAATTGTTGTGTTAGAGTATGGGGTGGGGAACATTTTTTTATCCTCAATACTTTTTGAAATTTGTGTTTTGGGGGGGGGAGTTCCAAAGATTGAGATAATTACAGTTATAAATAACAGCTCAGCCTCTTCATCCTAGTGGCCAGAAAACTTTTCATTGTTGTATTTCTGAACTCATAGAAATATAGGTCCTCAAATGTGCTTCAAAAGGACAATTGAACCAGCTGGTCCTGACTGCAGGAACACAAGTGTTTTGGCAAAATAGGGCCAGAAATGGAAGATAGTTTTGCCAAGTGAGCAAAGAATGGTCCCTTAGGAATGCAAATTAAGTTAACAGAGCCCAAAGGCTCTTGTCAGACCTGCTGAATGTTACAAGGGGAAATAGGTGGGCATGGTTCCAGTCAAGTTTTTAATTAGGTCTATGATCATTTCCCAGTGCTGAATGGTTTAAGGGAGTGATGGTTCTTTGAATAAGGACTGAATTTAATTTCATGCAAATTAAGCTTTAATAAATTGATTTAATGGAAATTAAACCCTGCTGACAAAAGCATTTTTTCCCAGTAAAACATTATTAAACCAATGTTACTGAGTGGGATGCTCTTTTTTCTGTCACCCCTTCTGTATAGAGAAGGGCTCTGTGATATTTGTCTTCAACCAGGAGACAAGTATCCATATACCATCAAAATAATCTCAATAATATTCCCTTCCTATCTTTCAGCAAGCCTGTTAGGGATCCTTGGGTACTTCTAATTTAATTTGAATTCCCAAGGGACAGACCCTCCTTTGCACACTCCACATTTAGTCAACTTTCTAATCTACTGCCATCTTTCTAGGGTTGATCTTAAGCTTGTTTTTGCTCATCCACACACCAGGTCAAACTTTCACTGTATCTCCTGAGTATCATTCACTTTGGTGCTAGCTCACCTTGTGCCGATGAATGACTTTTTGTAGATGATAAACTGAAGGGAGAAACAGTTCACGCATGCCAGAATGCCCGAGGACACAGCCTCTCTACTATCTAGGGCCTTGAGGACAAAGCCTCTCTAGTCTAGGTCTATTCACTGAAGAGGGAACAGAACCATTGCAAAACAGTGCCTCCCACCATCTGGCCTTGCAGCAGCCTCAGAAAGAAACTATGATTGGTGGTGTTGAAGGAGGCTGAGAGATACAATAGAATCAGGGGAGGCGAATTCTCCACCCCAGTCTCACCAGGGATGATCAATATAAGAGACCAATGATTATCCCATACCCAGGTCTGAATCCCATCTGAAAGGATACAGACAATCTGTTTCATCCAGGGTTTTCTGGAACTGAAGCCCTATCATTTTCTTAATCTACTATGTGAAGGAAAGATTGGTAGCTAGTAAATAATAGTCCAAGATAGTGATATTTTCTTGAGGAGACGATATATCACTGCTTTTTCCAAGGCAGAGATAAAGAGCCTATTATTCAAAGATGATTTCACCTCTGCCCAGATTCAGCCTCCCTTCACTTCCCTGGCAGCTTTCACTAGAAAGATAGGGCAGGGGATATGGTTTATGTGTGACAAAGTTGTTAGCATGAAGCATTTCCTCTGGATCCACAGACTCAAATCAATCCCATATAACCTCACAAGATGAAGCTTCTTTCACCTCAGCTGGATTTGGCCAGCTGGTGTCAAGCTCCAAACAAATGTGAGAAATGTTATCGAATTATTTGTAGTGGCCAGCAGCCCCTCTTACAGCTTGGTTTAGCAAATGTTAAACTATGCTACTGGGCAGCTATCTACAGAGGCAATCAAAGCAAACACTCCACAGATCTTACCACCACAGTATAAGCTTAAATGTGAGATTTTATTCATGTCAGATCACATTCATTCTTTATTTTATGCCTTCATTGCTCCAGTCATCTGTTCTGCTGCTGCTTCTCCCAGAACTCCCAGTTGATGGGAAAGGGGCTGAGCGCATTGAGAGTGAGAGACACCTGACAGAAGGAAAACACTTTCACTTATGCTCTCTTAATACCACCCGGTTCCAATGTGTTCTGTAGAAATTCAGTCATTTTGCTGGCAAATTTCAGTAGTATGATCTTCACATGCTGGGGGAAAGTGGCTTCATGGTGTGAATAGTATGGCTCTATTTTAAAACAAGAGAAGAGTTTAATTTTCTTCTTTCTGTGTTTTCTCTTTCTTTCATCCTCATTGGTCCTCTTTTTCTTCATCTCTCTGTCTCTGAGTGATGACGGTACCTTTTTGTATGAGATATTTGATGAGATACAGCCAGCAGGATGGCAGTTCTAGCACTGGGGAATGTAGTTCAGGCTCACAGCTGTTATAGATGAATGCTGATACCATATGCAGTAATGCCACAGAAAATTCATTATAAGACTGAAACAGTAACATCTGAATGAAACAGAAAAACAAAATGTCAGTTCTATTAACTTCTCATACTTGAAATTTCTCTCTCACTATTTTTCTTTTCACTATTTTTTTTAAAAAGAAATAATCTAAATTAAAGTTTGAAATAGAGTGTTTGCTTTTGCTTTTAGCAGCATTAATGTGAAATCTGCTTCTGGAATTAATGGCTCTCAAATGATGGACCCAGAATAGGGGGGGGGGGGGTTGAGATTTTTTTTATCCCACCTTTATTATTTTTATAAATAATTCAAGGTGGCAAACATACTCCTTCTTCCTCCTATTTTTCCCACAACAACCACCACCCTGTGAAGTGAATTTGGCTGAGAGAGAGTGATTGGCCAAAGTCACCCAAGTGGCTTTAATGCCTAAAGTAATGCTAGAATTCCTAGTCTCCTGGTTTCCAGCCCAGTGTCTTAAGTCTAAGAGCTTGGGACAGACAAATTACAGACCTATCAGCCTGACCTCAATACCTGGGAAGATCCTGGAAAAGATAATCAAACAACGAATCAGCAAACACCTACAGGCAAACAAAGTCATTACTAAAAGCCAACAGGGGTTTGTCAAAAATAGATCATGCCAGACAAATCTTATTGCATTCTTTGACCAAGTGACAAAATTAGTGGATCAGAGGAATGCTGTGGACATAATTTATTTGGACTTCAGTAAGGCATTTGATAAAGTAGATCACAACCTACTACTTGAAAAGATAGAAAAATGTGGGGTAGACAGAACCACCACCAGATGGATCCGTAGCTGGCTGACCGGCCGTACTCAGCGAGTGGTCCTCAATGGAACTGCATCTATATGGAGGGAAGTGTGTAGTGGGGTGCCCCAGGCTCTGTTCTGGGCCCAGTACTCTTCAACATCTTCATCAACGATTTGGATGAAGGGATAGATGGGGAACTCATCAAATTTGCAGACGACACCAAGCTGGCAGGAATAGCCAACACTCCAGAAGACAGGCTTCAGATACAGAAGGATCTGGACAGACTTGAACACTGGGCACTAACTAACAAAATGAAATTCAATGGTGAAAAAAGCAAGGTTCTACATTTAGGCAAGAAAACCCAAATGCACAAGTACAGCATAGGTGGCACCATGCTCAATAGTAGTAACTGTGAGAGGGACCTCGGAGTCCTAGTAGACAATCACTTAAATATGAGCCAGCAGTGTGCTGCAGCTGCCAAAAAGGCCAACACAGTGCTAGGCTGCATTAACAGAGGGATAGAATCAAGATAACGTGAAGTATTAATACCACTCTTCAATGCCTTGGTAAGGCCACACTTGGAATACTGCATCCAGTTTGGTCACCACGATGTAAAAAAGATGTTGAGACTCTAGAAAGAGTACAGAGAAGAGCAACAAAGATGATTAGGGGACTGGAGGCTAAAACATATAAGGAACGGTTGCGAGAATTGGGTATGTCTAGTTTAACGAAGAGAAGGACAAGGGGGGACATGATAGCAGTATTCCAATACCTCAGGGGCTGCCATAAAGAAGAGGGAATTAAGCTATTTTCCAAAGCACCTGAAGGCAGGACAAGAAGCAACGGGTGGAAACTCATCAAGGAGAGAAGCAACCTAGAACTAAGGAGAAACTTCCTGACAGTGAGAACAATTAATCAGTGGAACAGCTTGCCCCAGAAGCAGTAAATGCTCCAACACTGGAAGTTTTTAAGAAGAGACTGGACAGCCATTTGTCCGAAATGGTGTAGGGTTTCCTGCCCGAGCAGGGGGTTGGACTAGATCCCTTCCAACTTTACTACTATTACTATTACTATCCCCAGAATCTCTTCAGGAGCAACAGGACCATCAAAATGAGCGTCAGGAACTGAAGCAAGGCATTTTAGAAATCAGACAGCTTAACATATTTTTATGAATATAAATAGCAGAGCTATGTTGCTTGGCTGTGTCAGAATGGCAGAACGTTTACTAAATCATAATACTATGATTAATTGGTATTCTTTTTCTTCATTTGTTTTATTTCATATTGATTTTGTTTTATTTATATGATTAAGTTGTCCTGAAAGCTCTGATGAAGGCTGGTATATACAGTATACGTTCCCCCCAAAAGAAAGAAACAAATAGCAATTATTAGGATACCAGATGAAACATATTAGTCCTTAGTATCAACAGAGTCATTAATATTCTG